ATAGAATAGAATAGAATAGAATAGAATAGAATAGAATAGAATAGAATTCTTTATTGGCCAAGTGTGATTGGACACACAAGGAATTTGTCTTGGTGTAAATACTCTCAGTCTACATAAAGAAAAGATAAATTCATTAAGAATCAAGAATCATAATGTACAACACTTAATGATAATACATTGCAGTAGATTTATTTTTGAGTGACTATATCATGAGCGGTTTCCCAATGAAGGAACATATATAACCGGTGCACTAGATGAATCTGTGTAAAGGCCCTCTTGGCCACAATTGTTTTTTGCTCTTAAGAAGGAGTTATAAATCCAAGACAACCCCCTGACTGTAGAACACTCTTGAATGCAACCCCATTCAAGACAATTTTTGGAAAATCCCTAGAACTGGGAGTTCCAAATATCTACATCCACTCACTCTTGTCAGGAATGAGCCTGAGTCTGTTCGTCCCCATGCAGGTTCACACAGTCTCTAGACAGTGGGACAAAACCTTAATAGTATTTTTGGGTTGGAAGATGTACAGTGAATATTGCCAGCATACCGATTATAACTCACTCCAAACCAGCAGTTTTATATAGTTGTTAAGCAAAATAGAGTCCTGAGTTTGAGACAGGCCATAAATGAGGGGCCAACAGACTTAGTCTCTTCCCCCATCAACAGCAACTTCCCCCATCAACAGAGATCAAAATACAAAGGAAGGAGGAGAACCTTCTGCATTGTACCTTTACCGTAAATCCCCTCTACCAGTTTAGGAAGGATGCACCATCTCCATCAGGCTCTGTCAGAGGTCACTGACAAGGATGACCAGAGCTATCTCTATACTGTAGCCTGTCATGAAATGGATCCAGATAATCCATTTCTTTCAGGATCATTTAGAGGCTGCTGCCTAACCACCTTCCCATAAAGGGAAAGCTGGAGACCAGATGGTATTTTGTCCAGAATTGTTAGTTCATCTGTGGCTTCTTGAGGGGTACACTATTGCTTCTTTAAGGTCAAAGAATTTTTTTTTATTATTTTATTTATTATTATTTATTTGATTTGTCAATCGCTTACAAGGTAATAGGTAAAAGTATAAACATGAGTAAGAATACAGGAAGTAGGTATGAATAAATGGGTACAAAAGGACAGGGATAGTAGGCACTATTGTGCACTTATGCACACCCCTTACAGACCTCTTAGGAATGGGGTGAGGTCAATAGTGGATAGTTTGAGGTTAAAGGAGTGGGGGTTAGAGGATGTAACAACAGAGTCAGGTAGTGCATTCCAGGCATTGACCACTCTGTTGCTGAAGTCGTACTTTCTGCAATCAAGTTTGGAGTGGTTTACATTAAATACTCCCTCTTTTAAAGAAGCTGATAGGACCACATCGATCTAACCATAGATCATCTGCTAGACATCTTTAACAACCCAGGAGAAATCTGAGTCTAATAGGCAGATTACCAAACTTGCAGTCTGAAGGACCTTAGCTACTTCATCAAGTGTCATAGACATAAGCTTGATCCAGGTAACCCCATAAGACTATGTTCCAGGAATGGGAAACCTGATCTGTTCCAGTTGGGAGTCCAAAACTAAGTAGATCAGAGCAACTTTTTGTCAAATAATGAAAATATTCTTCATATTGGTCCTGTAGATATTCCTGCGTCACATGCCCAACAAAAAAAAAAAAAAAAGTCAGGTTAAACAGGGACACCAGACAGCCACTAGTAGATGCAATCAAGGGTTGTGAAATAATATTTTTCCACTTTTATCACCATAACATAATCCCAGATATGGTGGCTTTTTGTGTTTGATCGGACTTTGTCTTCTTCCAAAGATGTTCCAGGCATCTCTTCTGCAGTATATTATATTACCTCTTCTTGGCTAGATCATATATTTTTTCTAACTTGTATCCAGTTCTGGCACATATATTATATAGTTATGTTTCTGTCCCAAATAAATAAAACTGTTCTGGGTTAAACAAACAAAGAAACAAAACCAGAATTGATTCACAGGGCTAAAATCTGCTTAGTTTACTACCTTATATTTTCCACTAAGATAACCCAGAGAAAGTCTTGAAAGACAGTGGTTGTTAGTCATTTTGTTATTTAACATTGCCTGCACCTCTTTCATTCCCATTTTTTTAAAAGAATGCTTAGATACTGTAGTTTTTTTTAAATTTTATTTATTTATTTTTGTCAATTGCTTACAAATAATAGGTATAAGTAAAAACATAGCTATGAATACATGGATACATATAAGAAAAATAAAAATAAAATAAAAGAAACAATAGGACAGGGATGGTAGGCACATTGGTGCACTTATGCACTCCCCCTACAGACAGACCTCTTAGGAAAAGCGTGAGGTCAATAGTCTAAGGTTAAAGTTTTTGGAGTTTGGGGAAGAAACCACAGAGTCAGGTAGAGTATTCCAGTTATCTAAAAGTACTCAATTCATGGGCCTTCATTTGGAGTCTTTATAATGTTTCTTTTCCTTTCTCTGCAGATCATGACTATTAGATAGCATCCCATATCACAATGACTATGGCTCCCCGAAAACGGAGTCGTCATGCTTTGGGGTTTCTTTGCTGCTTTGGGCGGAGTGATCTGCCTGAAATCAACCTCAAGGACAACAACCCTCTGCAGTTCTTGGAGTTCTCAGTGCCAATCCCACCAGCCGAAGAACTGAATGCAAGGTTCTCTGAGCTTGTGGTAAGTATATTTAATTTTGGGGGAGGAAATGCCTCAAATTTTATCTTGAGTATCTCTGTGCTGAAACCTCTCCATTTAATATCTCTGAGTTAAAGCTTGAAAGAAATTCCAACTTTCAACACACTCTGGGTATGTCTTGACAGAAGATGATGGTAATTGAATGGCATTAGAGGTAAAGGTACATACAAGTGTCACAGGCCGTCAGCTTTGTAAAGATAGGAATGGCAATCATCCAAACCTAATTTAGTATAACATATCATATGAATCTTCCATTGTTAGTCATTCAGATTCACAAAGGCACTGATAATATGGAATTATTTGCTGACCTTTAAATTTGTGGTAAAATAAACATTTTTACCCCAAACTTAAAGTTCTTCTATGTGGCTTTTTTTAAGGGCAGAAATGTATTCTGTATTCAGAACTGTATTCTGGACTGAATCTAAATGTGAAAAAAAAAGGCACAAGGGTTTATGACGGTGGTAGTCTGGAATAGAAACAAGGATTATAGGTTCCAGAATCTGCCTCCTAGGCTTCTGCTTGGAACAGATTGACAGCGGGCAGCTGCATTTGTATTGATTGGTTTTGCTGAGATTTTAATTGAATCTGAAAATTCAATCAGAAAATGAAGTAGTGTAAATCAGTGACCTGGAAATGTTTGAAAGAGTTGTGTACATTTTTGTTAGCAATTCAACTCTGCAACCCACAGTTGTGCAAGGGCATGTAAATACTCTCGTTTGATGCCATTGTAACTTTGAATAGTCGCTTAAATGAGTAGAGTTAAATGAGGATTCCCTGTCAAAATTTGGGCTTTGATATTTGCCATTTGCTTTGTAGAAAATATAATGCAATGCTTTTGCATTTGATTCTATGCATATTTGTACATGCATAGGATCACATTAAGCATCAGAATGTGGGTCAATCCACTGCCTTTCTTTTTTCTTACAAAAAAAGCAAGGGATAAAGTGTAGTCTTAACAGGACTAGGCTGACTTTCTTGTCATCAGTAAAAATATTAATTATCCTTGAATGCTTTACCTGCTTTTAAGGAAAACACCTTGGCTACTTCTTGGTCATTGGTTGACTTGTTTTCTCTGTCTTCCTTCCCTCTTGAATTTATTGTTTTGATAAATTTGTTTGTCTCCAAATTGTTGGCACCACTTTCAGAAACACCCTTTGATGGACAATGGGTTCATAGTGTGATTAGTTTTCCTTCTGCAGCCCAAGAAATAAAAAAGCTCCAGACTTTCTTGATTAAATGTTCAAGACGCCAACTTAGAGTTTGATGAATGTTGTTAGCATACCTCCTTTATTCAGGATTATTATTATGATGGGGAAAATAGGAGGCAGATCTGGTGCTGGTCTTGCATGGAACTATTTATTTAGCATTATTTGGATAAAATGGGTTTCCTAAATTTGTGTCACTTGCCTGTGTCCTGTATGTAATTTAGAGGCAACAGATCATGTGATGGGAAATTAAACCATTGGAGATCTTTTCTGTATTTTTGTGCAAACATAGTGCTGCTTGGTATGAGATGAGTAGCCATAAAAATGGCGGTCTGCAAGGAATAGAAATCCTTCCATTTCCCACCATCCAGTCAGAGCTAAAGAAGCTTCTTGGATGAGAAGCGAAACATCTTCAAATAAAAACAAGATAGTTCAGTTGCCTTTTGAAAATGCACCTTTGGGACAACCATGACCTGGATGACTGAGAATCTCGATGGACTTTTCATTGTTGTGCGTATTGATTCTGTACAATCAGCTGAAAACAAGCATAGAAATAAAGAATTATGGCAATAATCCAATAATACTAGGATAAGGATCTGCTCTTGCAAACTGGATCATAAATTCCTCTTCATTAACCAAACTCTGTTGAACCATGTTTTGAGATTCCTTTAGGAAAGAGGAAAGTCAAAATTTAAAGAAAGTGCTTTATAACTGAATTAGTATACTGTGCTTATCTAGGCCTTGCCTTAAGGTAAGCTCTCAGATAGAAAGGAACTTCTTGAATTAGTGTTGACTTTCTTCTGGCCTTCTTGAAACAATGAAGAAAGGCCTCCCTATATATTAGAGGATGCTGGCAGGTTGTATCCGTACCCCAACAGTTGTGAATCTGGCCCATGGCCATAATTCTAGTGTGTCTTGGCTAGCTCCCCATTTTTCTCTGGCATGAAACACATTATTTCTAGTGAAGTACTTTTGCAGTTGGTGGTCTGTGCAAAATGTGCCAAGCTGGTTGTATGACTGCTGGCAATGTGGGCTTTTCTATGAGCATATGTTTTTCTTTGTGCAGATTTATTGACTGAAGAGGAAATAGCAGAATTTGAAAGATTTACTCCTCCAACTCCTTTCCCTAAACTTTCAAGGTGTTATAAACTGCCATAATTCTATGGAATACTGATGTGGGTTTTTCCAACGCCTTCTGGAACATAATATAATAGGTGGCAACATTTTGGTTTATAACATCCTTTGATATTGCAGATTTTGGAAATTAAATGAAACATGAAAGGAAAGTACAAATATTGCAGAGTAGAGTTGCTAGATGAGAATATGTTGTCAGCCAGAAGTCAACATAGAAAAGCAAACAAGGGGGACGGGACAATCGCAATAATAAAGGATAAAATATAATTATAGACTATGGGATCCACTGCATTACAGCTCTACTCTGTTTACAGCATTTTATTTTTATTTTATTTTTAAATTCAACCTTCGAAGTACAGTTACACAATAAATCTCTCCTAGAGTGGGGCATTGGCCAAACCATAATAAGTTTGTCAGGAATTCATCTTGATTTAGAACTTTTCCTCCAAGTCCTCTTTATTTTTGTTGTCTCTTATGTTGAAGTTGTTATTGTAAGTAATGTGGGCTTCTTGTTTATACAGAAGCCTAAACCATCCTTGTAGATCTCTCATCCTCTGACAATATGTATTTTAATTAATTCTTGATTGCAGAATGATACAGAACTAAGAAGAGAAAGATAGAATTTTACTACACATCCTGTGCTCCATTGGGCCACTGTTTCAGAAATATTTCTTTACCGAACAGAAGAACAGAGTGACCAAGGGCAGATTTAAAAAATGCAGTGGTAACAAGGGCAGCTCCCAACTTCCTGCTGGCTTCTTTATTGAGTTTCCTTTTGGGAATCTGGCAAGGAACATTGGAAATCTTCCCTTCTCTGCAGGCAGGAAAGTGGCTGCTGCTGCTGGGTGGGAGGGGGAGTGAAGGATTACAAGACTGGCTGGGAAACTGTCTTGGAACATTGAAAATGAAGATCATATAACTGCAGAAGCAGCAGCCAGCTACATTGAAGCAGACACAACTTCCCCAAATTTCATTCCCTCAGGAGTCATGGGTCCTAGATTTTAAACACATTCTGTAAATTGGCTCATTTCAGATACCTTAATTCAATAATTGTTGCCCTTTGATGTAACATTTCATCCAGTTATCGATAATGGCAACAATAGCTTTAGTCATCAAATTTAGGCCCCAGCACTCTCACTTTCTAAGTGACTCTGTTTGGGCAGATAAACATTTATAAACTCATGTCAAAAATACAGTTAAAACAAAATTAAAATGGAATGACAAACGAATAATAGCAAAAATAAACAAATTAAAAGACAGAGGGAGCTTACTTACCCCCACTTTTGGGAATATCTGGATAATTTACTTGCTACAGAAGATTATGCATTATTATCTTCAGATCCTGCCACTTGTATGTTTGACTCCACTTTCTGTCATTATCAGCTCTTATTTTTATGACATACACATACAGTATGTTTGTACTGTATATGAAGCCACTTTGGTGCAGTAGCTAAGGTGCTGGCCTAGAAACCAATCACTCTGTCTCTAAACTCAGTCCAATCCCCTTCACAGAGTTATTTTTTGTGTGGAAAATAGGAGCCAGGATTATCTATGTTCACTGCCTTGAGTTGACCAAATATAAAAAAGGTAGGATAAAAATATGATGATGATGAACATGTCATTTATTGTAAATTCCAGAAGTAAATACATAATGTCCAAAGGATTCCTGAAAATATGAGAGTTATTTAATCCTGTGCAAGTCACATATATAACAAGTCTGATGTAGCAAAAGAATAAGACTGATAAACTGATTTTTGTGGTAGTCAAAATTCTTGCTATGATTTTGTGTCATTATCTGAAATTGGTCAAGTGTCAAGGGTTGTGAAATTCCTTAAGCAACTTTTTAAAATTGTTTTAAAGCCACCCCTCAATCTATTACTATTTCATATCTGTCAATATATATCTGTCAATTAATAAATCATTTCCAGGAGCTGAATAAAATTCAAATAAATAAACATAAATTATAATAGGCATCCTGTGAAGCTGGTTGGACAAGTTAGAAAATATGCAAAAAAGTAATTCCTCACATAGTGATAATTAACTTATAGATTCTACCAAAAAATGTAGTGCTACCACTAATTTAGAGAACTTTTAAAGGGAATTGGACAAATTTATGGAGCATTTTATTCATAGGCCTTTCTGTCAGCTGAGTTGAACTGATCTGCATAAAATAAAAAGTTAAATGCCTTTTATCCATCCTTAACTTTTGTGCATGTAGAAATGCTTCAAAAATATCTGATGCAACAGCTAAATATAAAAATGTAAAACATAAACATGCAAAAACCATCTGAATATGGTCATAGGTTGAATTACGTGCCAAGGGTTGTCATTTCTAGAACAATTATTGTGGTAGGGAGATACACATAAAACCAGTTACTTGTTAGGTGTCTTTATTTGCAAGATTATGAACACATCCAGTATTGAGGATAATTATTCATTTCTTTAAATAGGACTAAGTCAACAAAATGAATATTTCTATCCAATCAGAAACTTCCCATCCACAAATCTATACCAGAAAGTTTCAGCAGAGCTCTGAAATAGATGGATTTGAAACAGCTAAGGGAAGAGACAATTCACATTGACTGGAGTTTTTGTTCCACTAGTGGCAAGCCAGTCATATAACCTATTGCATTTCAGAATCTG